ACACTATTGTTTACCAGTGTTTTTAAATAGAAAAAATATTTCGGGTCATTTTAATGTCTTTTCCTGCAGGGATTTTGTCTAACAACTGGGGTTGATACAATTTTGTTATCTAACGTTGATACTACCCTCTACCAACAGTTGAGCCCTAAATGACCATCTATCTAGCTAGAGACATATCTGTGAATATCTGTAAAAAATCTATCACTCGCCCTGGTAGAGGGTACGTTGATACAACGTTGTTATTTGACGATGATCCAATTTTCAAATCTAGTGTTAATCCAACGTCTTGTCAACGTTGAAACAACATGATTTGCTCGCTGGGTTACTTTAGTTTGTGTGTGTGTGTGCGTGTGTGTGTGCGGGCGTGCAGAAATACAGTCACGCATGTGCTGATCATGTGTCTGTGAAAACAAGTACAGTGTATCTACCGATACCCTAATTCCTTGGCAAGATCGATTTAAAAGATAATTTCTCACAGTGTGTGTGTGCTTGTCTGTGTGTGTGCATTTAAACATCGATGTGCTCTCTAAATCACCGCTTCACTGCTGTTTATGACCACTTCAAAAACATAAGATGTTAATTAATTGTCTACCTGCGTTCCCAGAGTAAGCCCCGAGGGTCAACTGGTAGTTAGCTTCCTCTGACGCGATAGCAAAGTTGTCGTAACGGGCGTAGCGCCAAACACCATTGACGTCTTCCATATCAACACGCAGCTCGTATCGCTTTTGGTTAGTGATAGTGTGAATTTGTTCATTCCCTGTAGAAAAAAAGTAATGTCTGGCTCAATCTTTTAATTCAGTTGTTTATCCATTTGTCAAAAAGGACCGAAAATATATTTATACTTAAAATAACGTTGAATCAGTAAACTTTCAATAACGTTGAGAGTCCAAAACGATACAAAATACGCGATACTCACAATATTAACATATGTACAATGTCAATAGTTTTTGAAAATGTGCTACATATATTCTAATTTTCTTCACTCCCAGCGTAACTGATAGCAATATCTAACTGTAGGACAGAATACAAATGAAATAAAAGAAAACATTTATCATAATCCACTAAATGCAATTTTTCATTCAAATGACATTTGTCTGCAGGTTTCGACATCCCTATAAAAGTTTTATATAACTTTAGGAACATCAAATGTGTTTAATAATGTCTCATTACCTAACCAGTGTTCCCCGGTCATATTTCCGAATCCATGCTTATAAGATTGCCAGCCACGATAGAAGTCCACGGAACCGTCCATACGCTTCTGGAACAACTGAAAGTACAAAATACTTAACAAAATATTTTGTCCAATAACAGGGAAAAGCACTGGATTCGATGTACTGTCTTGAAAAAAAAAATACAAATGAGTTCTCATCAATAAGTTTGACAAGAAAAAATGTGACTAACGACTTTAGAAAAATAATTGGCGCCCCAACAGACCACCGAAAAACGGGAAAATCCTTTTGAATCACATCTGAAATATATCATAATTTAACACATGAAAATTAATCTAAGTATATTGAATTAAACAAAATCTTACCGTCCACCCTCCTCCGTCAGTGGTCATGTCACAGTAGACGCTAAATGCGCTCGGACTGTTAACAGGTGTTATGGTATACACCCCATTCAACGTCTCGCCGTTCTTGAACAAATCAGCGCAGTCCCGCCCACTTGCTGTAATCAGACATTAGCATATTCCGTTATATTCGTAGTATCACCACTACATATTCCCGCTATATCATATTGACCACTGCCAAAAAACGATGGTTCTTTTTTCGGATGAGAACATGTCTTCATTGATGTCAACATACAGTATATTTATAGTGGTAGAAATTGGTTGCATTGAAGCTTTTTTACATTTAGTTGTCCACAGCATAAACAAGAATGTAAATAAATATTCTGTGAGCTCTTCTGAGGATGCCATTTGTTAAAAATGCAACTTACCACCTGGCTTTTCTGAAGTGAAGTTTGCGAATTTCACTTGTAAATTTGTTGTTGTCTGTAGCAGTTTAGAATATTTATCCACCAGATCATCGTATCTGTCTTCTAGGCGTCTCAGCGACTTCTTATTGTCCTTTTTCAGATCGTTCAGTTCGTTCTTCAGGATGTCCAGCAGGGTGGATGTTACCGAACACTGAGACTGTGATGTGGCTTGCACATCTCGGCGCTTGATGCTACAAGAACAAAATCATTTTAATGAAGCCATATATACTTTGAATGCAACTTCACATTAGAGGCATTTATTTTGTCTGAGTGACTGTTATCTTTTAAACTGATAGGTATTTTGATCTGGAAAAATATTCATCGAAGAAAATCAATTACCATAACGATTCTTTTTGATCGTGAGAAAAACTGCCTCGTTGATCAGCCCTTTTGAAAGTACCTTCTAATTTGAAGAATGTCAAACATATTTTTTTAAAACAACAATTCTAATAAATAACGATATTGTAGAAGTGAAGGAAAGTTAAGACAGTAATATAAATAAAAATCAGTGAAAATATTTTCTAGATGCTAATATGCAATTTGTTATAATAAATACATGTATAATCACTATTAATTGCAGCACTTACTCATACGTTTGAATTCCCAGAGTAACGTCAAGAACACAGAGTAAAATAACGATATACTTGTAGGTCAACTCCATCGCTCTTTACGGCATATGTATCCAGCAGAAGAACGCAATTCTATTCTTTGCAGCGATATTTAAGGGTGATCTAGTCACGCGACACGCATCATTTCGATTTGACATAAAATTTCTGAAGGCGTATGAAATAAAATGGTGATTGCGCATGTGCGAATTTCCTAGAAATCAGCTGTGAGTCAGAAATAGGGAGCGGTATATATCAAAACATCTTTCAATACAGAACAGACGTAGATCAAAATGGTCTGATAATTGCGTAATACCCCGTTTCTATGTAACCGTAGTAGAAGTAACAACGCTAGTTGATCATAAGAAGATACTGGCTCTATAAATAAAAACGGTTTCCAGCGTGTCATTATTCGATGAATTCATTAATTTTTTAAGAATTTTCTCTAGTGTTAAATGCCAGCAAACATTCCGAACACAGGTCTCACATATAATTTCACGTTAAAACAAACAGGTCAAACCCAGATAATCTGCATAAATTTACCCTGGCGGTACTTTTGCTTAGGGATGGCACAAGGAAGAAAAAATTCCCTCTCTTCCCTGGACAAATGTAAAACAACAGACGATGACAATTTTGCTTTTCAAGGCATGGGTTAAAAAATAAATACGGTAGACGCTGCCAAATAACGAGTACAGTGAAACATATTGTAGTAAGAAAGTGTAATAGAGGGCAGCACTCACTCGACTCCCGCCACTAACCCACCAAGGTTTTTTCTCAACTTACGACCCTGCCATATATTACCAACCAGTCACAAAACTAGCTTTATTAACTTTAGACGCTGAAAAAGGACGTCCCCCCTCCTCCATTAGCTTTTATTATATCTAGGCATTACTGGCTCCTGGAATTGCCATTCTGATAGAAATCTTTATGAACATCACGCCCTACGTTGGCGGTGTAGTATTACCCATCACCACACTCTAACAGAGAGAAGAGATAAAGACAGTGGCGGTGTACGTTTACAATAGAGGAGATCTTTTGTGTCGTTTAAATCTCAGATGATGTTTCTGGTTAAATCGACAATGCAAAAAAGAAAAGACATCGGCAGATTTCAGATATGAAAAATTTATAGAGAGGTGAAATATTAAATTCTCTCTCGCCTTCACTCCTTCCCTCCTTCCCCCCTTTCATACAACACCTATGAAAGTGTTTTGATGAGGAACAAGGATTTCATTTAGACGGCCACTGGTCTCCAAAGACGACTTATATTTTCAAAGACGGCTAAACGGCTTAAGAAATTCTTGTGAAATGATAGCATATTTGTCCTTGAATCCTTGAAAACGGTGACCAAATTACAGATTAGCATTTTGGGCACCTTATTCCCGAAATCTTGGGGGGAACCCCTGGGCTGATCCCCAGAAGAATAATGTCAAAATCAGTAAATTATCCTTGGTACAAATTTATTTTAAGCGTCCTTCTGTTTATTTTCATTTTTAGAAATAAATTCAACTTCAAATTCAACGAGATGCACTCAGAGTTGACCAAGAGCAGATTTTAACACCGGTGCTTGTATTAATAGTCTAGAGATTTTGTTTCATTTAAATCAATAAATTAAAAAGTTACTGGGAAGTCATCTCATCTTAATTGTCATTGTAAGCATGTAAGGAAGTGACCATTTAATTGAAAGTGTCTCCTTTCAACATCAGAAAAATAAAAAAAAAAAAACTCACTAGAGATTTCCGTATATTAGCCTCATTCTAACATTGCAGATCCCACCATTTATCAACCTCGCTTTGGCTTTTTCGCACTTGTACTCGCACGCATTGTGTCTGCTTTCAACATCAGCCGAGAAAAAAAGCACCTGAGGTTTTCCGTATATCAGCCTCATTTTAACTTCGTAGATTCCAACATTTATCAGCGTCGCTTTGACTCTTTGGTGCTTATACCTGCGTGTATGTTGTGTGTGTGTGTGTGTGTGGGTGTGTTTGTGAGTGTGCGTGTGTGAACAAGCTGCCTAGCACAGCCTCTGTTTAGTAAACTTCGTGTAGAGTGTAGACGCTGACAATGGAGTGAACTGCCTACACTAACTCCCGCCATAGGAATGGGTAGGAAACCAGCCCATTAAAATCGACATTTTCAGTCTGTTTTTCTCGTTAAATACACTGCATATGCCACAGTCCTGCTGCTAAGGGTGTAATAGATTTAAACTTGATGTCGACTTCATGCGGCGAGTTTACAATGGCAAGTCCAAGCGGTGTATTCAATGCTCACACTGTGTTAATTAATATCAGGGTATGTTTATGTATGTGAGTGAATGCTTTTGATTCGTTTTTAAAAAAAGGTGACAATTTTGATCTTTTCATGAGCTTGCTTGCGTACATACATGTGTAAACATAATTTATTTTAAAACACGCTTAGGATGTTATCCCTTTTTTACTATTGTACAATTGATGTCGTTCTGATTGTCAGAACACTACAGCCGTATTTTCTCTTGCCGTTCTCGCTATTATTGTATATTAATACGTTGTATTCAGGCAACGTCTAAACCATTTTACACTGCGGTCGGTTTGGGTTTGGTGGGGGTGAAGAAACTAAGGCTAAAAAGCAGCTGTCACGTCAGTTAAATAGCAGCGGCATTACACGTGGCACACATTTGGATCGTCCAAGATACGCCCCTGGTTCGCTTCATACATCTGCACTGACGGCATAGAAGGAAGTGTTATAAGGAAAGAATTAGCTGCCAGATATTCCAACTCTCTAGGCACAAAACCAGTAGAGGATGGTACAATGTACCGGGTACTGTAACGCCCCCCCCCCCCCAACCTCCCACCCCCCTAAAAACATAATAATAATAAGTTGTAACTGATTGGCATCAGCCTTATTTTATTTGCGAAAAGAAGTACCTTCCCTTTCTCTTTTATCCTGTAGTTGTTGATTAAACCAGCCACTATTATTATTTTTATTTATTTACTTTTTTTTTTCACCTTTCAAACCTGGACACCGTAACTCGAAAGCATCGCGCATTGCGACCGAGCGCAAGCGCCTCGATTCCATATCTCGCCCATACTCGCCCTATATAATACATTGTAGCCTCTATATCGCTATTCGCAATACGCGATGTTTTCGAGTTACGGGGCCCTGGTTCGCCGGTACGTCGGCACGGTAAAAGTCTTAATTGAGCGGCTGTCATGTAGTTCTGAAAACTGAAGCACTTCAAGTAGTTGATGGCTACGCGTAACTATACACCGTGGAAAATTCTGGCTTGGAGTTGGATTTGCAAATTGATCTCATGAGTATAGCCTTACGTATACCAGTTGAGAGAGAGAGAGAGAGAGAGAGAGAGTGGGAGAGAGAGTGGGAGAGGGGGAGGAGGAGAAGGAAAAAGAGACAATTTTTTCATGCGTAATCATATATCGAAATAACATGGCAGTTTTACACTATCAAATTGTAAAATTGAAAAGGTTTACCTTAATCTACCTTGACGATCTGCAAGGTGAAACCAGTGTTTCATGGCGAACTTCGGTAAATTGGAAAAAAAAAATGCCCATCGTGCACTACATGAAACGATTTACAACAGACAAGGGGGGCGTCTCGATAGTCCGAAGGTTCATTGGTCCGAAGGTTCATTGGTCCGAAAAGTGGTGACATTTTCATCGATTTTTTAATCAAGGGTTCATTGGTCCGAAGGTTCTATAGTGAATATTCGGACCAATGAACCTTCGGACTATTGCTACGGCCCCGACGAAAGTCGGCATGTTGTCTGTAAGATTTTGCGTTTTATTCGCAGATTTGCTTAGAATGTCCATTTGTGATGCACGGATCGCTGCATCTTGAATTTTACACATAAGAAAGATATCAAGGAAAACTTCGAAAATTAACTGGAACATACATTCGCTTAAGCATTATTTCAGCTGGGGGGTGAAAAGGGTAAATAGATAAATGGATAGACCACTCCTTGTCTCACAAACCAGAATCTCCTAAAATTCAACCCAATTTTTCTGATGTAAATATACAAACATATTCTGGAAAGGATCCCCGGGTGTCTCCTAAATATGATAGAGAACCAGACAATGGACACGTTTTTTTAACAGCAATGGACACTTCATAAACATGAAAATAGCCAGAAATGCGGTAAATAAAATTCGTCCCAATTTTGTTGGCAAAGTTTCACTAATCCAGTACGCCAGCAAGGTTTGCCCAGCGTGTGTGTCAATCAAAATAATTAGGAGTAGTCAGGGATTGAACGCACGTGCCATACTTCACAGAGTTGAAATACGCAGAAGGCATTTTAACACCGAGCTGGGCAGATACCAGAATCTGACGACGCGATTTGAGGTCTTTTTCTCTTAATCAAAGCGATAAAAAGGTATGTGCACTGTATGACTTTCTCTCTCTCTCTCTCTCTCTCTTAAAATAAAACGAATTCGTATTAATAAGATCACCAAGTATTATGTTATACATTTTAGAATGATGACGCTTTTTAAGGTACGTTTGCACACATATGTAGTATGTTGTTGTAAAGCCCATGACAGCTGAGACATGTAGATATGACCATACTTCTATGAAATGATAGCCATTGACTAGCGATGAATACGTACGTTGAACATAGCCTAATAATGCGAAGTTTGATCTCATTATATGGGGGGTCTCTGCACGAAAATTGTTCTAAGCTGAAAAATCTTCTGACTCAAGTTTTAGTCAAATAAATCTGATGTAAATGACAGGGAACATGCGAGCAAGGGACGCTTCTGCGTGAACTCATATCTTCGGTCAATTAGGGCTAATTTTGATAAAAGGATTAAATTTTCTAGAAGAAAATCCCAGTCACATGTAGGCTTGAGTAGCGAATCTACATATTTTCAGGATTGGCAGCTGAACTCCAATATCAAATTTCCATTTCCTCCTGATATTTTTGAAAGCAGTAAATTTACCTAACATAATGGTATTTTATTGCAGTTTTACAAAATATTCAATACTGTCTTTAATTCTACCGAAAACAGTGGTTTTCAACCTTTCCAGAACGCAGGGAATCGGTTCATTGTCTTTGATTCGTTACCCTTGTCTCTCTCCCCCCCCCCCCCACTTCTTATCACCTAAAGGTGACACTGAACATCATCCACCGAATAATATCAAGATTTTGAATTCGTTTTACAAGAAAGAAGCATAGAAAGAAAAAAAAAGAAGCATATATAATGGTGAAGAGCTTAACGATGAAAGATGAAGGCTTATAGCCTAAAGGTCACAACAATCAGTTTTTTTAAACCTGCGTCTTACAAAGTCATAAATAAGTTTCCAAATGACTGTTGTGGAACGGGGCAAAATAACATTAACGAGAACAGATGTGTACTTAAATTTTTAAAACGTGTTCATTTATTTTCTAGCCCTCGTCATGGGAACGGAAACTTCAAAGCTGTATGACGTCACTGACACGCAGACGACAGAGCGAAATGAAGAAATGGCCCTTTTGCCCAAATACCAGACCAAATTAGCCGAGTTGATGGAACAAAAGAATCTGTTTGCCATTAAAGAAATGAGAAATGAATTGGGACCAGAGCGAATGCAGAAACTTGTGGGGTCTCCTTACAAAGACATGACTTTTGTCCATCTTGCGGTGAAATCAGGTTCTGCAAATATTTTGGCGTATTTGGTCAACGAGTGCAAGGCAGACGTCTGCCGGAAAGGGACGGTTGATGTCGCTCTGGACAGGGGTGGTGTCGTAAAAGTCGCAGATGCTACCCCGCTTTGGATCGCGTGCCAAATGGGAAATGTGAACTTGGTGAAAGCGATCGTTTGGCTTGGGGGTGATAAAAGTATCAACGAACGAACGGCTATCGGTTCCACGGCCCTGCAAGTGGCTTGCTATTCCGGCCATTGCACCATTGTGAAATTTCTCATCGAAAACACAGCTGGTGTTGAAGTTAACTATAATTGCCTGCTAGCTGCCCTCAGCACCAAAGACAGAATCCATTTCGAGGTCGCAAAATACCTCTTAAAAGAAGCCCATTATAACAAAGTAAACGAGCAAGACCCGGACGGAATGACGTTACTCGCGTGGTGCGCGAGGGGAGGGAACGTGAACGGCCTTCGCTTGCTCATCCGCTACGGTGCTGAATGCATCCCTGACAAAAAGGGTGTCACCCCTATCATGGTGGCCGCCGCCCATGGTCACGTGACCGCCGTCAAGTTCCTCTTGGAGTACGGGGACAACGTGAATTCCAAAGACCACGAGGGTCACGATGCCGTCTACTGGGCGAGTAGAAACGGACACACAGAAATAGCCAAAATTTTGCTGGATAATCGGTTCCGTAAGCATTACGGCCACACCAAGATAAGACCCGCGTCCATCTTTGAGTCGGATTTTGATGATGATGAGTAACTGAACTGCCAGCCTTTGCGTTCGTGTGCTAATGCAATCCTCTACCTTGGCGGCAGTTATTATTGTGGGCATATTTTGCTGAATCGACTGAGAGCCAAAATGACTGTCTATTTATCTATAGACATATCTGTGAATATCTGTGGAAATTCAATCTGTCGCCATGGTACCGTAGAGAGTATGCCAATGCTACTGCAGTGAAATAAATATATAAATATATATATATGTATATCTATTGGGACTTTGCATAGGATGCGGAGATGTGGGTGGGGGGGGGGGGGGGATACAAGGGCACAATGGCCTCCACCCCCTGTACATTTGAAGCATTAACTTTTTTCTTCTTTTCTGTCCTTCTGAAGTCACAAACGTCTACTGGGGTAGACGAATATCAACGTGGTACAAATAACCTGTGTTCTGCACTGATATACTGACCCCCCCCCCGGCAAAGCATATTAATTGTACAGCTTGTGGATCTATATTGAATCTACATTGATGCAATGATAAGGCATTCACGTATTTTAGGACCCTATACCGTCATAAAACGTTTATGCCAATATGCAAAAAAAGAAAAAAAAAAAAAAAAAAAAAAGAAAAAACGTGTTTAATGACTGGAATGGTAGATCGAGGACTTAGCTAAGGGAGTTTGAGCAATAATAAACGGTGTCCTTCCCTTGTGTTTCCATACATCAAACAATCTAAAGGAAGCGAAAAAAAAAATAAAATAAAATAAATAAAAAAATAAAATAAAATAAAACCAGTTACACGTCTACCTTATGGCATATATTGCACAATTATGTAGCAATAGTTTTCAGAGAACTAGTAAAAATGATACTGTTGCAGTGTTTGTTTCATTTCCTCTTTCTTTTTAATCCAACTTAAAAATAAAAAATACAACAAATCAATCTAAAGAAAACCAAAAGAGAAACAGTAATACGAGTCTTATCGCTTATATAGCAGAATTATAAAGCAATAGTTTTCAGACAACTAGTAAAATAATATCATTATTTCATTTCCTTCTTCTTTTTTCAATCTTCTTAAAATAACAAATAGGGTGTTTGGGAGGATTCGTATTTGATAGTAAAATGATATTGCTTCGTTTCCTTATTCTTTTTTCAATCTTATTAAAATAACAGTAGGGCGTTTGGTAGGATAGGGTTTTATGCTGAAAAGTTAGAATTGTGTATCGGCGTTCAAGGTTTTTCTCCTTTGTCTAAAATATTTTCAAAATTTTCTTTTGAAATATTCGTACCCCTTCTATTTATTTATTGCATCGTATCTACGGAAGCAGCAGGACAATAATACATGTACGATAGCTCCGAATTTGAATCGAGAATCGCATACAACAGGTTATTTGGTTTAGAGTCGTGCACGCCGTGTTATAGTTATCATATAAAGGAACTGAAACATATTGCTAAAATATGCATGAAAAATACACGAAACCGTATGGAATTTTTTCATAAAACGTACGCTGAATAGCAGACGTGGGGAACTAAAACCAGGGACGGATTTAGACCGTCTTCTGGGTCTTCCGGAAGACGGTCAGATTTTAAAGTTAACATTGACAGGTATCTATTTTTTTCTGTTGGAAGACCATCAGAAATGGAGGATGGATCATCAAAGATAATTTGGAATGGTCTCAGAAAATATCTCTGGATCCGCTCCTGTAAAACTGCCTGTCCATCTGGTTATGACCACTTAAAATGGCAGACGACTTGCAAGATTTTTAATATCGCAGGGCCTTAATTAACACTGATAAGTTTTATGTGAAAATACAAAACATAATAATAAATCGCATGTTAACAAGATGGGGAGAACCTGCTTATTTCTTGTAGAGCGATTCCTCCGAACCTTCAGTATCTCCAAAGCTTCACCCATGTCTGATAATAAAGTAAGGGAAACGAGCTTTTATTTGCTCAGTGTGTAATGCTCACCTTGACTAGTGGTTCATCTTGTAACATTTCATATCCTTGCCATACCTTTCTCGTATTTAACATCCTGGCAACATTTCACATTAAAATGACGAGGGTTTTGATAAGTGCAAAGCGAGTGAATCCTGTCAATTAAAGCCGACACTTCCATTTTTATCAATTTACATTACATGAGCAACATGAAGTGAAGGTGACTGAAAAGGAAAATTGTCAAAAGTAATTTCTATTAATTGCATCGCTGTTACCACTCTGCTCCTTTATGCATGGATTTTTTTCTCCGACAACCGAGGCCTTAATTTTGCATTTTTTTGTAGATGGATGATACCCCTAGGATAAACTGATTTGATTATCATATATATAGTTTATTGTTAATTTAAATAATTGAACAAAAAAAAAAAAAAAAAAAAAAAAACAACAACACGGGGGAACCCTTTGGGGATTTTTACAGAATTTTGTACTTACTAGATAAATGGATGTAATTTCGTCAAATTGCGTGGACGTATAATAGGTGGTGACCTCTAAGAACCTGCCAGATGTTATCCAGCTCAGGCATTGATTGGTACTGTTTTTTTTTTTTTTTTTTGGAGGGGGGGGGGCGAGATTGACCAATCAGCTTCAAGAATCACGCACGTTTACATGTACCGCACCACTTGACGTATTTCGTTGGGAAATTTAATTGCGACTAATATTGCCACTTGAGTCACAGAAAAATGGCGTCTGTTAAAGGTCAGTTAATCATTACTTTCCATTTAGTTATGCTGGAAACTCCCCAAAAAGTTATGGGTTATGGATTTACAATAAAGAAGATTATATTACTCTTTGCAGTACACATATAAAAATGTGACTTTTGGACATTTTCAAAAAAGTCGTGGGGGGGGGGGGGGGCTAAATTTCATGGTGTATTCATTTTATGTATTGGATTTGAGCTGGACATAAGGGGCACAGAAGTACACTGGAGGTTTAGTATAATACTGTACATGGACACGTGTGTTAATCTGAGCAAAAAGTCATCTGTTATAATTTACTTGGAAGAAAACTATGCTTTAGCTAGTGAAAATTCTTATTTCAATAGGGAAGTAGTTTTTCAGAAACCGAAGGGGATGGGGGGTGGGGGGGTCCGGACCTCCTTTACTCCCCTTCTTCCC